GCCTCTGTCTTGCTTCCTTTCAACATTCTCGTCTCTGACGTCACACACTCACGTGACGACATGGCTGGGGGAGGAGGGGAGGAGGGGAGGAGGGGAGGAGGGGAGGAGGGGGAGGAGGGGGAGGAGAGGAAGAGAGGGGAAAAAAGAGAAAAAATGAGAGGGAAAGAGAGAGAGAGAGAGAGAGAGAGAGAGAGAGAGAGAGAGAGAGAGAGAGAGAGAGAGAGAGAGAGAGAGAGAGAGACAGACAGAGACGCACGCACGCGCGCACACAGACACACACACACACACATACACACATACACGTGTATATAATCGTATGCTCATTAAAATTCCCTTTAATGTGGAATACTGTAGATAAGTCTTTATTTCAAAGATCTTTAACGACGAATTTCCCCTTGCGAAGTAAACTAGTTTCGCACTTATGTCACTTCTGCCGAATGACGCCGTTAGCCAATTCATCGAATTTCGTTTTAAAGTATACGAACTTGACTCTTACGTACACTCTGCTTTAGTTTGATATCCCTTTCTTTTTCTTTCTTTCTTAACTATTTCCATCTCCTCTCTGCCATTCTACGCCCGTTCTTATTGTGCTTTTGCTTTCTGTCTGCAAATTCGTATTTGAAACAGATAGGAATAGTGGTTGGAAAAGTTTTATTTTTCGAGGTTTAAGGAAAAGAATAAAGGTGTGACATGGATTTATTTTCTTTCTTCTTTTGGTGATTTTTTTTTCTGGGGGGGAGGCGATTTTTTTCTCTCTCTCTATTATATACTTACCGAATAAAAGGCGATTTTGCTCAGAATTTTCCAGTTTTCACACACACACAAACACATATATGAATATATACAAATATATATAAACGTGTGTGTGTGTGTGTGTGTGTGTGTGTGTGTGTGTGTGTGTGTGTGTGTGTGTATATGTGTATGTATATGTGTGTGTATGTGTATGTGTGTGTATGTATGTATGTGTGTGTGTGTGTGTGTGTGTGTGTGTGTGTGTGTGTGTGTGTGTGTGTAACTATAGATCAATAAAAAATAATTAAAAAGTCACCGTCACTGTTATTTTATCTCACACAATTTTTTTCTTGACCCTCTTCTCTTTAAGAAAAGGGGAAACTAAAAGGGTCTGATGGCTACTATCACCCCCCCCCCCCTCTCTCTCTCTCTATCCCTATCCCTATCCCTATCCCTATCCCTCTCCCTCTTCCTCTCTCTCTCTCCCTCCCTTTCCCTTTCCTTATCCCTCTTCCTCTCCCTTTCTCTCTCCCTCTCCCTCTGCGTCTCAGTGTGTCTCTCTCTCTCCCTCCCGCCAATTCTCCCACTGAAATCCTGCGCCTGAACGCGAGTCTTTTGTCGGAGAACAAAAGAGGAGCGGTCCCGCCTGAAGCAAACTCGAGTGCCTTATTAGCAAGCACTGCCTCCTTCGCCGGGACCCGAGACCGTTTCGGGTTCGGGATTCGCTTCGTCTGCTTCGAAATGGTTAGCAGAAATAAACAGAATACATAACTATATACATATAAAGACTAAAAATATAATTATAAAAAAAAAAATACATACATACATAAATTTCATCCCAGAAGAAAAGGCTTTTAAGCGAAATGGATTCCCGCTCGAAGGAGGTTCGTGGGCAGAAAACATACTCCGCTCCGAGAAGTAGTTCCTCCGCCTGATAAAATTTCCCAGAGAATTGTCTAAAATTTAATGCGAGGCTTTTCCTTTCCCACACACGACAAAAAAAGAAAAGAAAGTAAAATAAATAAAAAAAAACAACGATAAGGAAATACACTATTCGGCCTTTTCCCCGAGTAACCTATTCTTCGAAACACGAATTTCATTTTTTTTTTCATAAAATACTATTGACAGAAGAAGGTGTAGCAGAGGACCTTCCGATACAGAAGAGCTAGATCTATTTCACAGTTAGTATCTCATGAATATATAATGAGCTTAATGGGTGTGCAATTCCATATTTAAGTCTTGCATAAAACGAGTCTCTGCGCCCATATCTCATCATCAGACAACTCGGGCAGTTTTATACAATCATGTATGTATAAAACGGGTTTGTAAGGGCATGCTAAATCCTCACAAAATGGGCGCTTCTGCACAAACTTCGATGTATATCAAATGCTTTCCTTTGATCAAGAGAAAAAAAAAATAGACGACTCCCTAGAACTCACAGCCCGTTAATGGGTGTCGGATGGCGCAGGGCATAACCAAAGCAAAGATAACTCAGTTACCATTATCCTTTGATCCAGTGACGCGCAGGGCAGCTTGTGATAACCTAAGTTTTAATCAAGTTTTCCTGACAAAGTTTGGATGTGGTAGGAGATGGTTTGGCTGGCGGCCAGGAGAGGGAGCGATGGGAAAGGGGAATGGAGGGAGGGGGGGGGGGGAGGCATAGGGGATGAGATGGATGAGGAGGAGGAGGAGGAAGATGAGATGGTCGAAAAGGGTAGGAAAAGGAGAGGGGGGGAGGGGACTACGAGGAAGCAAGGATAGAGAAAAGATGGAAATGAAGTAAAGAAGACGAAGAGGACGACGACGACGACGAAGAGGACGACGAAGAAGGAGGATGGAAGGAAGAAATGTAAGGCAGGAGAGACAGAGAGGATGGAAGAAAAGCAGAAGGAGACGTAAAAAGGAGAAAGAAAAGGACAGAAGAAAGAGGATAAGGAAGGAAGAGAAAACAAGGGAAGAGAAAGGAGGAAGACGCCGAGGAAAAACTAAGCATCGAGGTATTACTCAACAGGAAGTCGAGAAAACGGAACCGAGTGAACCAGCCCGGGAGAACCGCGCTTAAAGAACCAGCAGCGATCAAGGCAGAACCGAGCGCGAACCAGCCTGGAATCGCTCGGCGTCCCTGGCCAGAGGTAAGGGAAAGGGAGAGAGGAAAATATAGGAAAGGGTGGGAAAAGAGCAAAAGATACGAAAGAGAGGATAAAGCGGAAAATATGAGAATATGAGAATATGAGGAAAGAGAGGAAAATATATGATATGGAAGGAGAAGAAGAAAATATAAGAAGTAAATATGACTCTTCTCTCTCTCTCTCTCTCTCTCTCTCTC